TTTCTCAACAGAAACTATGAAAGCCAGAAGGGCCTGGACAGAAATCATACAGTCCTTAAGGGACCACAGATTCCAACCCAGACTACTATACCCAGCAAAACTTTCAATCAACATAGACGGAGAATTCAAAATATTCCAAGACAAAACCAAATTTAAACAATATCTACATAGTAATCCAGCTCTACAGAAGTTACTAGAAGGGAAACTCCAAACCAAAGAAAACAACTACATCTAAGGAAACAAAGGAAATAGATAACTACACAACAAAAACAACAACAACAACAACAAAAACAAAAGAATACAAGCAATGAAACTCAGTGACACCACCAACCCCACATCTAAAGTAAGTAACAATTATTGGTCACTAGTTTCTATCAACATCAACGGACTCAACTCCCCAATAAAAAGACACAGACTAACAGAATGGTTGGGGAAATAAGATCCAACATTCTGTTGCATCCAAGAAACACACCTATGCAACAAAAATAAACACTACCTCAGAGTAAAGGGCTGGGAAAATGTCTTTCAAGCAAATGGTTCCAGAAAACAAGCGGAAGTAGCCATCCTACTATCTAATAAAATAGACTTTCAGCCCAAGTTAATCAAAAAAGATAAGGAGGGACACTATATTCTCATCAAAGGAAAAATCCACCAAGAGGACATCACAATGTTGAATATCTATGCCCCAAATACAAGAGCACCTACATTTGTAAATGAAACAATATTAAAGCTTAAATCACACATTGATCCTAATACCCTAATAGTGGGAGACTTCAACACTCCACTCTCACCAAGGGACAGATCAACTAGACAGAAAACAAATAGGGAAATAAAAACACTTACAGAGACCCTAAATCAAATGGACCTAATAGACGTCTACAGATCTTTTCATCCAAACTCAAAAGAGTATACCTTCTTTTCAGCACCGCATGGAACCTTCTCCAAAATAGACCATATAGTTGGTCATAAAATAAGCCTCAACAGATACAAAAAGATTGAAATAATCCCTTGTATTCTATCTGACCACCATGGACTTAAGCTGGACCTCAACAACAACAGAAATAACAAACAGCCTACACGCACATGGAAACTGAACAACTTGTTACTCAATGACAGCTGGGTTAAGGAAGAAATAAAGAAATAAATTAAAGACTTCCTAGAATTCAATGAAAATGAATGCACAACATACCCAAATTTATGGGACACATTGAAAGCAGTGCTCAGGGGAAAATTTATAGCACTAAGTGCCTGCAAGAAGAAATTAGTAACATCACATACAAACAACTTAATGGCCCAACTGAAAACCCTAGAAAAAAAAATAAGTAGATACACCCAAGAGGAGCAGACGGCTGGAAATAATCAAACTCAGGGCTGAAATCAACCAATTAGGAACAAATAAAACTATTCAAAGAATCAATGAAACCAAAAGTTGGTTCTTTGAGAAAATCAACAAGATAGACAAACCCTTAGCCAAACTAACTAAAAAGCAGAGAGAATCTATCCAAATCAACAAAATCAGAGATGAAAAGGGTGACATAACTACAGACACTGAGGAAATTCAAACAATCATTAGGTCATACTACAAAAGCCTATATGCCACAAAATTTGAAAACCTAAATGAAATGGACAATTTTCTTCATAGATTCCATCTTCCAACATTAAGTCAAGATCAGGTAGAAAGACAGAATAGCCCTATAACCCCCAAGGAAATTGAAGCAGTCATTCACAGTCTCCCCTCCAAAAAAAGCCCTGGGCCAGATAGTTTCAGCGCGGAATTCTACCAGACTTTCAAAGAAGTGCTCACACCAATTCTCCTCAAACTATTCCACAAAATAGAAACAGAAGGTACATTACCAAACTCATTCTATGAAGCAACAGTCACCCTGATACCTAAACCACACAAAGACGCAACAAAAAAAAAGAGAACTTCAGACCTATCTCTCTTATGAACATTGGCACAAAAATACTCAATAAAATACTTGCAAACCGAATCCAAGAACACATCAAAGATATCATCCACCACGACCAAGTAGGCTTCATCCCAGGCATGCAAGGGTGGTTCAACATACAAAAATCCATCAATGTAATCCAGCACATAAACAAACTGAAGGAGATCATCTCCTTAGATGCTGAAAAAGCATTTGACAAAGTCCAACACCCATTTATGTTTAAAGTCTTGGAGAGATCAGGGATACAAGGCACATACCTAAAGATAGTAAAGGCAATATACAGCAAGCCTATAGCCAACATCAAACTCAATGGAGAGAAACTTAAATCAATCCCACTGAAATCAGGGACAAGACAAGGCTGCCCACTCTCTCCATACCTCTTTAACATTGTACTTGAAGTCCTAGCCAGAGCAATAAGACAACTAAAGGAGATCAAGGGGATACAAATCAGAAAGGAAGAGGTCAAAGTGTCACTATTTGCAGATGATATGATAGTATACATGAGCGAACCCAAAGATTCAACCAGAGAACTTCTTCAGCTGATAAACACCTTCAGCAAAGTGGCAGGATACAAAATCAACTCAAAAAAATCAGAAGCCCTCTTGTATACCAAAGACAAAAAGGCTGAGAAAGAAATTAGGGAAACAACACCCTTCACAATAGCCACCAATAACATAAAGTACCTTGCGGTGACACTAACCAAGCAAGTGAAAGACCTGTTTGAGAAAAAGTTCAAGTCTCTGAAGAAAGAAATTGAAGAAGATCTCAGAAGATGGAAAGATCTCCCATGCTCATGGATTGGTAGGATTAACATTGTGAAAATGGCCATCCTGCCAAAAGCAATCTACAGATTCAATTCCCATCAAAATACCAACTCAATTCTTTACAGACCTTGAAAAAAAGATTCTCAGCTTCATATGGAGAAACAAAAAACCCAGAATCTCCAAAACAATCCTGTACAACAACAGATCATCTGGAGGTATCTCCATCCCCGATCTCAAGTTGTACTACAGAGCAATAGTAATAAAACTGCATCATATTGGCATAAAACATAAAGGAGGATCAATGGAACCACATAGAAGACCCAGAAATAAACCCACACACCTATGAATACTCGATTTTTGACAAAGAAGCCAAAACCATTCAATGGAAAAAAGACAGCATCTTCAACAAATGGTGCTGGTCCAACTGGATGTCCACATGCAGAAAAATGAAAATAGATCTATATTTATCACCCTGCACAAAACTAAAGTCCAAGTGGATCAAAGACCTCAACATAAAACCAGATACTCTAAATCTGTTAGAAGAAAAAGTGGGGAACAGCCTAGAACTCATTGGCACAGGAGACAACTTTCAGAACAGAACACCAACAGCACAGTCTCTAAGAGCAACAATCAATAAATGGGACCTCAAGAAACTGAAAAGCTTCTGTAAAGCAAAGGACACTGTCATCAAAACAAAACGACTGCCTACAGATTGGGAAAGAATCTTCACTAACCCTTTATCTGACAGAGGACTAATATCGAGTATATACAAAGAACTAAAGAAGCTGAAAAGCAGCAAGCCAAATAATGCAATTAAAAAATGGGGAGCAGAGCTAAACAGAGAATTCTAAACAGAGGAATATCGAATGGCAGAGAAACACTTAAAAAAATGCTCATCCTCATTAGCTATCAGGGAAATGCAAATCAAAAGGACCCTGAGATATCACCTTACACCCATCAGAATGACCAAGATGAAAAACTCAAGGGACAACACATGCTGGAGAGGTTGTGGAGAAAGGGGAACCCTCCTCCACTGCTGATGGGAATGTAAACTGGTACAACCACTCTGGAAATCTATCTGGAGCTTTCTAAGACAATTAGGAATATTGCTTCCTCAAGACGCAGCTATACCACTGCTAGGTATATACCCCAAGTTTGCTCAAGTACACAAAAGGGATATTTGCTCAACCATGTTTATAGCAGCTTTATTTGTAATAAGCAGAACCTGGAAACAACCCAGATGTCCATCAACGGAGGAATGGGTACAGAAATTGTGGTATTTTTACACAATGGAATACTACTCAGCAATCAAAAAGGAGGAAATCATGAAATTACTAAGAAAAAAAGTTAAACAGTAGAACTTTCCTGAAGAATAAAGTAGTTCATGTACATGTGAACACACAGTGGAAATGGACACTGGTGAAAGAGCATCCTCAGCCTGTGATATCTGATTCTAGTCACTTGACGGGACTGAGGATATCAAGCACGAATCTGGATGTTCCTATGAGATCATTTCCAGAGATGGTTGAGGTAGATGTCTTTGACTTAGCCTGTTGGTTTACTCTTCTAATGCATTAGAAATTTAAATAGATTATTGAGAGAACTATATCCTGGTTGGAGGAACTGGCCACAAGGGATGAATCCATGATGTTTGAATCTTGGCCTGGTCCCTTCATATTATATCCAGCTTCCAGCAGGCCAAAAGTTGAATATCTGTTCCACTCCAACCTCCCATCATAAGGTAGAAAACCTCTCAAATCATAGGCTTAAATAAATCCTTTCTCCCAAACATCATTTTACTAAGGTCACATCAGTGAGACACTACATAAAATAAACCCCTAAATTTATAAACCAGATTGAAGATGTAGAAGTTATAGTTGAATGAACACCCTAGCAAAAACAGAAGCCTCATAGAGGACAGGTGTCAGCATTGTCATATTTAGTACTAAAAAAAAAAAATCACTTCCCAGCGTTGTATTCATCAGAAAGAACATGTTTGTTGAAAAGGGGAGAATGGGGAACTTGTGCTATATGTCTATTGTGCTGGACAGATACAGGGAGAAAGGAAAGGAAACTATGATAGGAGAAAGGGGGAGCACGAGGAGTGGTGAGAAGCAGGAAACATCACTCTAGCTTGTTGCCCTGCTTAGGTATCAACAGTTGTTGATAAGTACATGCAGGTGTCAGGATTAAGAGGTGCTGAAAGTAGACTGCCCAGCATTAGGAGGCTACAGAAACACAGGGGAGGTAGTAGTCAGGCTCACCTAAAGTATAACAGTACAAAGGATCAGGCGTATAGCTTATTGCAGAAAGATTTGTCATCACAACAACTCATTTTTACTGTGCTATCTCCATTTAGAACAGTCCCACTGAAGCAAATATCAGCACATCTTTGGACTCCAAACTGGATTCTGCCACCTGGAGAGGAAGAAAGTCAAGAGGCAAAATATAAATACTAGTAGAGTCAATGACTCAGTGAAGAGTCAGGTATATCTGTCACACAGGCATTACTGACGTGGTCTCTCTGGGCCATCCTCCCTCAATTCCTAATCTGACACACAGGTAGAACTCCATTCCTGAAAGTGCTGAATAGAATTTTAGAATCCAGTTCCTATTTCCTATCATAGCAGACTATTTTCAACCACAGATTCCCTGGGGACCAACCCCCAAAATTTATTTCTTCATAATTTCTTTGTTGGTCTGACCAACAGTCAGTAACAACTATTACCAGAACCAATGGGACCTTTCCCTACTCTTAGGGGAAATACACCCTCCTTAAGTTCCCCATTTTTCCATCAGTGTTCTAGAGATAGGTTCATCACTGTAGGCCAACCCTCAGGGCTCCCAGACCTTACATACCTTTAACATTTAAGAGTAAGGCACACTTCTCACCAGGTTTAGCCTTACAGCATCTTTCTCCTTTCTCACAAATCCCCTGAGAATTGAGCCTAGCACACTCAAAACATGTCAACGCTGAAAAGACAAAAAACAATGTAAGGGGCTCATTCAGAGCCCAGCCTCAGGTATCAATGGGAGCTGAGTGTGCAGCTCTAGTTAATGAATAACAAACAATAGGCAGAGATGGAGGTGGCTATATGCTGAGCTGACCCCCTCATGAAAGGTCACAGCCATGGGACTAGACTCTGAAAAGGGAAGTTTAAAGGAGAGTTGGAAGGCTCCCTATCCTCATACCCTGAGAATAGACCAGGTTATCAGAATGAGAAAACAAAGCTCTGATGTGGGGTACGTAAGCCACCACACAGTGTTAGGTTTCTGAGACAGCATAAAGAGAGAGAGGGCAGAAAGAAACCAGAGTCTGACCTCACCAGAAGAATTGTTATTTGTTGGCATACATAGCAAAGGGAACCCTCTCTCCCACAGGAAAAGGACCTTCAGAGGTCAGTGAACTGATCTCAAGGCTTTGTGGTCAGGGGCAAGGAGGAATCGCCTTAACCTGCTTCAGTCTGATGAATGGGGCAATATAGAAGGGGCAGCAGTTAGCATGACTCCGAGGATGTATTTGCCTGCCAGGGAGAAAGGCTGGCTACAACCCGTTATAAGGGCAGGGTGAGGTGTTTGGGGATGAATAAATTGCTGCAGTTTGGGTGCTATGTATCATGCAGTCTCTACTTCCTGAAAGTGCTTTCCTAAGGTGAGGCAGGCTATCTTGGGAAACAGGCTATCTCAGGAGACATTCCTTTCTGTTCTGATTGATAAGGGAAGAGTGAGGGCATCTATATTCTCATAGGAATCCTGTTTTCAAAACACTCTGACATTCCAAACTCTGAAAATCACAGAAAGAGCTGGGAGCCAGGATGAACATTGAAAGAAGGGGAAGCTGGACAGTGATGCTTTCCTGCTGCTTCAAGCGGAGGAGAGTTGTTGTTGGGAGGGGGCAGTCCAGGAACCCTTGAATAGAGTAATGGAACATGTGGTTACTTAGCAGGAGGAGAGTTTCTCTTGATCATCTGCAATGGATCACATGATTGCAGTCATGTATTCCTGAAGAAACCTTTGAAAAATAATCGTTGGAGGGCTCTAAACAGATGTTTAGTTAGAATAAAACTGAGAATTCCCCAGAAGGTAAAGGCGGGGAGGGAGTAGAAGAAGGAGAGAGACGGTGAAAGGATGTAGGTGTCTATAAACAGGAGCTTTTATATAGAGAGTGGGAATAGCCAGCCGTTTTAGTGCTGAGTTCGGATAACACACCCAGAGTAGCAAGAAGAGAGATGATTTGGATGGCCCATGCCCATTAATAACCCAGCTTAGATGTCAGTGAACTGATCTCAGGGGCTTGTATTTGGGGGCAGGGTTGATATTTCTAAAACTGCTTCAGTCTGATGAAAAGGTCAATGTAGAAGAGACATAAGTTGGCGTGCCTCAGAGGAGGGTCTATCCAAGCTATCGCAATGAAACATAGCAAATGGCAGATCTAGAACATAAGTCAGGAGGTAATAACCGTACAGTTTTGGGGAAACATTGAGACACTGTAATCAGCTGTTTGTTTCATCAGACTTCTGCATATGGAACAAGTGCCTGGAAGCTTTGTCGAAGAAGTCAGCTGAAGTCAGTGTCTTGGGTTTTCTATTGCTGTGAAGAAACACTATGACCAAAAGCATGGCAGGGGAAAAGGCTTTCACTTCCACATTGAAGTCCATCACAGAAGGAAGTCAGGGCAAGAACTCAAATACAGCCAGAGCCTAGAGGCAGGAGCTGATACGGAGGTCTTGGAGGATGCTGCTTATCGGCTTACTTTCCATAGCTTACTTACCCTGATTTCTTACAGAACCCAGGGCTGGAACTACTCACAATGGGCTCAGACCTCTCCCATCAATCACTACTTAAGAAAATGCCCTAGAAGCTTGCCTGCAGCCCAGTCTCACAGAGGTTTTCCAACTGAGGCTTTCTCTTCTCTGATGGCTCTAACTTGTGTCAAGTTGGGCATAAAAGTAGACATCACAGTCAACATCAAATTGATAATTTAAATAGAAATAAAATCCTATTGAGTAATTTTTATAGGATTGTCTAACAAAATGTCCATAACAGTCCTTGAATATTCTAGATAATTTTCCAAGTCAGCGAGTTTGGTGACAACCTCATTTAATCATGAGGTATGCATGGTTAGGCACTCTGGAATTAGCTTTTTCTAAGGGAATAAATTGAAAGCCAAGGTAACCAGCATGGCTCATTGAACTAGCGCGCAAATCCCATACCAGTCGAGCGGTGGCTTTAGCACAAGGTTCCCCTGTCCACAGCATCCCTCATAGGTCAGTTTGAGAGACACTGAGGCAGAGTAATTGCTGCTGGCCTCTCTGCTATTGAGACATCTAAGGTGTAGGTGCAGACTCTGAGATCTTCCACTGGAGAAGAGAGCTTACACCCCTGTCATGTGAGACATGAGGAATGATTCATCTTCTCTATAGATAAGGGGTTTTTCCTGGTCTGGCCTACACAGGCAAAGAGAAGGCAGCAGACTTCTGACAGCTTATTTATCCATGCATTTTTCTCCTGTAATGAGGTTACGATTCATTCTACTCTGCTGAAATTTTGCCCCATCCAAACAAAAGGTTACAGTCTGGGGACACTCTGCCATGTAAGAGTTTTGTAAATTTAACCCATTTACTTAAGCAATCAATTTTTCATGATTAATGTTTCAAAATGTGGTTCATTTTTAATGTTATTTTACATTTAAAAAATTAAGTTTATGTTAAATTTGTTTTAAGTTACTTATGTTGAACCAAAATTTATATAGAGGACTGTATAATGAGGGATATAAGTTGGTGTTACTTCGCAAGCTTTCCTCTGTAAAGGAAGACATTTGCATTTAGCATGGCTGTAAACAGAGTTGAGAGCACATTAAAATTTTTGATTATTTAAAAGGTGATTGATCATTAACTTTTATGCATGAATTATCTTTAGCAGTTTGTAATAAATTAGTAAGACTTATAAAATTCTAAGTTTATAATTTTATCCCTGTTAAAATTTTGAGCCATAAAACTTATAACTTTGAATTGAATATCTTACAGTATTAGGTAAACTATAAATATAGTCTATAACTATTATAATTACAGTCTATGAAGAATCTGGGGATAGAATCTCATTCTACAAAATATCACAGTTTTTTGTATGGCTCTGATTCTCCAAATAGCTAAAGCTTAACAAAGTTAGCAAAGAATATGTAATTATACATATAACTTTGTCAGATTTTTGTTAGCATGAATAGATCATTATAACCTTAAGAATTCATAAATCTTTTGAATCAAACTTAGATCATTCTTAAGTCCTACTTTTCATAAATCTTTCATAACTTACTCAGACATTTTGCAATTTAGCTTTATGCTTTTGTTGTTTATTTTCCTTCTTCTGTTATTGTTTTCATTGTTAAGACAAAATTGTTTTACAAAAATCCATTCTTATCTAAGATATTTAACTTTTTTCTCCAAAACATAAACTAATATTTTAAGTTTGTTAAAACACCTTTCTCATATGTGCTTACTGTTTCTTCCTATTTCCACAGATAAGAGTTTAATCCAAGTTACATACAAGGCATACTGTAGCAAGCTAAAATCGATCACCTATGAGACTTTTGGCTATCAACCCCTTTCATTGTAGGTCTTAAGATTTCTCTCTGCTTGAAATTAAATAGTTTTTTTTTTTAACAACCCTCAGTGGTCTTACAGATCCTGTGAGAAGGGAAGTTTACATTTCGACAAGAACTTCAAAGATAACCATGACCTTGAATGGAGAAAGATTTTATAAAAAAGAACAAAGAAGGAGGGTAATATTCAAAGAGCTAGACACTAGTAATTAGATTTAGTCACTTTAGCTTTTGTATATAAATCCTTCCCAATTTAAAAAATAAATAAATACTTGTGACATAATAGGAAGAAATAAACTCACCATTTTCTGTGAGATAATTTCTATATGGATAGGTTTAGTATCTGAGGCATTTACACTTTATTTATGACAATTTTCTCAGGGCTGCATAGTTGGACTCCCTTCCCATTTTTAGATTTTAGTCTCTAAATTCCAGTCTTTTTCTCTAGAAAACCTTCATGTTACATGCCATTAGGACCTAATTACACATAATTGGCTAGGAGGAGTGACTGAACACTCAGATAAAGGTTCAAAGATCTTGCCTACGTCCTTCTTCCTTGAATTAATATTAGCATCTAACAAGTCCAGCTGTGATGATTTTAAAGAGACAAAGCTGGAGTTCTGAAGATCAAAATTGTTTAGCTTAAAACATCGTGTGCAACATCACCTTAATAAAACAAGGTTAAATGTAAATTTTGCACATAAAGCAGTGTGGCAAATTAAAACTACTTGGATGTAACACAATCATCAGTAAATTCGTGTGTCTAGAACTAAAATTAACTGAGAAAGCCCTATTAAAACTGTGATGCTGGACTTATTATTGAAAGATTTTAAACAGATGGTCCCTTTTACCATTTTCATGTATGAACATCCTATTACATATTGTTACAGACATTTTACACCGTGAGATAAAAAATAGCATCTTCTATTGGAAATAGTTTACTTCTAAGCTGTTTGAAATCACATAACATTTGGGGGGGGGGTTCTGTTGTTTCTTTCCCTGTCACATAGTCAGAGGGACAGCCTGACCCAGGTCAGAGGCTTTGGACAAAATTTGAGACAAACGTGCTTGGGTCTGAAGTTGGCAGGTCAAATCCGATCTCCAGTGCCAGATTTTCAGTGAAGTGAAACAGCATGTGGTGGACTGGACAGATGATTCAGAGATTAAGAGCACTGGCTGCCTCTTCCAGAGGTTCTGAGTTCAATCCCCAGCAACCACATGGTGGCTTACGACCATCTATAATGTGAGCTGGTGCCTTCTCCACGCCTGCAGGCACACATGCAGGCAGAACTCTGTATACACGATAATGAACAAATCTTTAAAAGAACAGCATGTGACAATTTTCCAATATTACCTCCCAACAAAAGACATTTTACAGAGGTAAGAAGGAACCCAGTGGTCTATTTATCCATAACCAGTTTATATGTATGTGTGCATATGTGGCCAAACAACTTGAAAATCCTAACAAGTATTTTTTTTTTCTCTCATGAAGACAGCAAATTGCCAATAGTGTAAGTACTTATAACCTAGCAACCATCAAATAGAAAACTGGAAAAATACAAGCAAGAGAATCCATGTTTGGTGGGGAAGAAACAATAACAGAACTGAGTTATAAGGAATAGAAGTGTGTCCCAAGAACAGTAAGACTAGACTATCTCGTTTCAGTTAAGGAAAGCAGGCTTGGAAATCCACAGAAGCTGCAGGCAGCAAGACCCATTATAACTTCTACTCCCAGTTTCCCTTCCTTGCTGCACAACAAAGGGGCCTTGCTTACACAGAAAATCTTGTCTTTCATATAAAAACTTGCCCTCACCCTACAGCCTTTCTAAGGTGGGGTCCTGGACTCATTGGCTAACAAGGCTGTTGAGATGCCTGAGATTTTGTCATGGATAGAGAAATGAAAGGGGCTGCTCCATTTTCATACTCTTTGCAGTACCTGATCTGTAGTTCCCACAGGGAGCATTCCCCTTATGCAATAAGCTGTCTCAGCTGGGACCTTATCTTGACTTTATGGTTCACTTCCCATGAGCTCAGAGGGCCCTTTAGGAGAAGGGGGTTGGGAATTAACTAAATTGGCACTCTGAGCAAGATGGTAATCTAGAGCTGAGTAACAGGTATGAGGAAGGATAAGATTAGATGGGAAGGTCCTTAGACCATTCTCTATCCTATCTTAGGAAGTTATCTAAATCAGTTTAGATATTAAAATTGAAACTTTCAATTTTGATCCATCAACTGGACATTGTCCAATATATATTGAGGGCACAGTAGAACTGAGAGATGAAAAAGTATGGCTAGTCAGAGGGCTCCCAAAAGAAGCTTTTAAAGTTTAGTTCATAAACATGCTAAGGGTAATTAATTTGGAACCCATAATGGGTGTAAAACCAAGGGAAAAAAAATCAAGTGTCAAATCTAGCTACTAGATGAGTCCCTTGGGTTTTGGGTTGACCAAATGTATCTGGAAAGTAAAAGGGCATCCCCAGAGGTATGTTCCAGGAGCCAAGAGACCACAAAGCATGTGGAAAGTTTCTTGAACTATTGATGGAGTGAAGTTCATGGTCCATTGGAAAGCTCCTAGAACGATCAACTAAGTGAGTCTCAGGATAAGAAAGAAAGGGCTTCAGTGAGCTCCCAGACCTAAATGAGGTGCCTTTGAGTTAGTCACAGAGAGTTAACTTCTTCCAACATTTGAGCTGTGGTGAATATGTGGACTAATTGAAGGAATTGGGCTTTGGTCTGGAAGTCAGATAGTGTCACAGTGAGACAGAGGAAAGTAAAAGGAAAGAAGGAGGTATTCTAGAGTAAAAGCAGTGGTTGTCTGAGAGAGACAAATGTCCCTGCTAGACTATGTGGGGTCTAGGATGCTGCTACAGATGAGAACAAGCAAGGTCCATGCAGGAGGACTCAGGCCAACAGTGGACTCTGATGCCCTTTCAGTGTTTTGGCACTGAATGTTAGATTTCTGAGGCAGCATAAGGAAACAGAAAGCAGAAAGAGGCCAGATCTGACCCTACCTGGGAGAACTACAAGCACACACAGTGAGGAACGGCCTCTCTCCCAGAGAAAACTGAAAGGTCTACCTCAGGAAAAAAATGACTTTGACCCTTTATAGGGGCTGGCTGAGGGACTTGGTAATGAGGGAAATTGTGCAGCTATAGGAGGCTATGTAGGTCTGCAGTGTTTCTTTCCTGAAAGAGTTTTCCCAAGACACACAGACTATCTTGGGAAAGAGGCTGTCAAAAGAGGCATTCCTTTATATGCTGGCTAATAAGGACTGAGCAAGACTAGCTGTATGTAATCTCTCAGAAATCCTGTTTTTAAACTAAGGCATTCTATCACACAGGACTGGATGAACCCAGGTTTTCATTCTGTTAATGACCTCCCTATCCCACTTCCTATCCAAATTTAGGCACATTCACATTTGAGTTCGAGGAACTGAGGATGTTTGGATATGCCAGAGAAACAGGTGAAAGAAGGTAGGGAAGAGGAGAACAGGGTGGCAAGGAGCAGGAGGAAGAGTACCAGGACCATAACAAAGAGAAGGAGGAGGGAAGCATCCTTGAGTGTGTACAAGAGGCAAGGGGAAAAATGGAATGTGAATATCACATCCCCAACATCCCTATTCTGGGACATCAGTATGTCTTCCCACCATCATCAATGCCCCCAGAATCTTACCTTGCAGGGAGCTTGCCAGCAAGGAGAGGCCCAGCAGGAGCAGCAAGATGCGTTTTCCCATTGCAGTGAGATCTTCAGATCAGAGAACCGCAGAGAACAGGACGGAGCACTTAGGCCCCATCTTAGTAAGACAGGTTTATATTGTAGCCTAAGTTAGGAGGAAGCCAGTGGCATACCAGACAACGGACTGAGTGTATAGCCAGGGGGAAGCCCAGATACCACAAGCTTTTACTAACTTTATGCTGCGGTAACACATGGCCTGTAAAGCTTTCATTAAGGGAAAGCCTAAATTCAAGGTGTACTGAGTCACAATTAATCCTACTCTTGGTGCTCAGGAAACTGGAAGCTATCTGATGACCAGGAGGACAATTCCTTCAAGGACTCCTTTTGGGAGAAGTGTATTCAGAGGAAGTGTGACCACCTGTGACCTCTGGAACTGTAGATAAGGACTAATGCTCCCAATAACCAAGTAACCCTGCTCTCTCCTGCTTTCTCACTCAAATAAGTTGTTCTTTTTTCTAACTAAAAAGAATCGAGAGAATCTGTGTTTGATTACTGCACTTCTTTTCCTGAACTCCAAATTTTACAGAAACTTTAAAATCGGGGTTTATGGCTGTGAGACCACAAGGAATCCTAAGGTCTGGATGAACTGGAGGGGCGCCGCACAATGTGTCCTGGCTTTCTGTGCATAAGCAAACTATTTGTCTCAACAGGATACACTGAAATAATAAAATTCTACATTCATTGAAATGAGATATGTGCCTGGGAGCATCCTAGTAGTTCAACAAAACAGTAGTAAGAGCAAATAGCTGATTAATTTTTGTCTTCCCTGCATGCCATGTTCTCCTCCTTACATAGGATACAAAGACAGGAAAATTAAAGGACTCTGAGGAAGGCCTAGGAAGGAAAAGAGTCCTTCACTCTGGGTCTGGTTTCCTTATCCTGCTGATGAGTCAAAAAGCTTCAGGCACCATGGATAAAGCCTTAGCGATAATGGATTTACCTTAACACACATCAAACAGATGGCCTGCTTAGATTTTATTGTCAATTTGGCACACCCTGGAAAAGGAATCTCAATTGAAAAAAATTGCCTGGATCATATTGGCCTGCGAACACAGCTGTGAGTCTTTGTCGCTGTCATTGTTGTAGGCAAATTGATGTAGGAGAGCACAGTCCAACATGAACAGTGCCAACCCTAGGCAGACGAAATCTAGCTGAGCAGAAACGAGTGAGCCAGCCAGGATGCAGTGTTCCTTCATGATTTCTGCTTTAGTTCATGAGCCACTGCTTTTAATTCCATCAGTGATAGAGCTGGAATTATAAACTGATATGAGCCCTTACCTCACTCAAGTTGCATGCCTGGGATGAAGCCTACTTGGTCATGGTGGATGATATCTTTGATGTGTTCTTGGATTCGGTTTGCAAGTATTTTATTGAGTACTTTTGCATCAATGTTCATTAGAGAGATAGGACTGAAGTTCTCTTTTTTGTTGGGTCTTTTTGGGGTTTAGGTATCAAGGTGACTGTAGCTTCATAGAATGAGTTTAGTAATGTTCCTTCTGTTTCTATTTTGTGGAATAGTTTGAGGAGAATTGGTGTTAGCACTTCTTTGAAGGTCTGGTAGAATTCTGCTCTGAATCCATCTGGCCCAGGACTTTTTTTTGGAAGGGAGACTGTTGATGGCTGCTTCTATTTCCTTGGGGGAAATAGGACTATTCAATCTCTCTACCTGATCTTGACTTAATTTTGGCAAATGGAATCTATCAAGAAAATTGTACATTTCTTTTAGATTTTTGAATTTTGTGGCATATGGGCTTTTGTAGTACAACCTAATGATTGTTTGGATTTCCTCAGTATCTGTAGTTATGTCCCCCTTTTCATTTCTGATTTTGCTGATTTGGATAGTTTCTCTTTGCCTTTTGGTTAGTTTGGCTAAAGGTTTGTCTATCTTGTTGATTTTTTCAAAGAACCAGGTTTCATTGATTCTTCATTTCATTCTTGGTTTCATTGATTCTTTGAATAGTTTTATTTGTTTCTAGTTGATTGATTTCAGCCCTGAGTTTGATTATTTCCAGCTGTCTGCACCTCTTGGGTACATTTGCTTCTTTTTTCTCTAGGGCTTTCAGTTGGGCCATTAAGTTGCTTGTATGAGATGTCAAAAATTTTTTCTTGAAGGCACTTAGTGCTATGAATTTTCCTCTGAGCACTGCTTTCATTGTGTCCCATAAATTCGGTTATGTTGTACCTTCATTTTCATTCAATTCTAGGAAGTCTTTAATTTCTTTCTTTATTTCTTCCTTAACCCAGCTATCATTGAGCAGCAAGTTGTTCAGTTTCCATGTGCTTGTAGGCTTTTTTCTAACTCCATTGTTGTTGATGTCCAGCTTTATTCCATGGTGGTAAGATAGAATACAGGGGATTATTTCAATCTTCTTGTATCTGTTGAGGCTTGCTTTGTGACCAACTATATGGTCTATTTTGGAGAAGGTTCCATGAGGTGCTGAAAAGAAGGTATACTCTTTTGCGTTTGAGTGGAAAGTTCTGTAGACATCTATTGGTCCATTTTATTTAGGACCTTTGTAAGTGCCTTTATTTCCTTATTAGGTTTCTGTCTACATGATCTCTCCCTTGGTGAAAGTGGGGTGTTAAAGTCTCCCACTACCAAGGTGTTGGGATCGATGTGTGATTTAAGTTTTAGTAATGTTTCATTTATGAATGTATGTGCTCTTGTGTTTGGGGCTTAAATGTTCAGAATTGTGATGTCCTCTTGGTGGATTTTTCCTTTGATGAGAATGTAGTATCCCTCCCCATCTTTTTTGATTAATTTTGGTTGAAAGTCTATTTTATTAGATATTAGGATAGCTACCCCAGCCTGTTTTCTGGGTCCGTATGTTTGGAAGACATTTTCCAGCCCTTTACTCTGAGGTAGTATTTATTTGTTGCAGAGGTGCATTTCTTGGATGCAGCAGAATGTTGGATCCTATTTCCACACCCATTCTGTTAGTCTGTGTCTTTTTATTGGCGAGTTGAGTCCATTGATGTTGATAGATAATAGTGACCAATAAATGTTAGTTTCTTTTGTATTGGAGTTGGTGGTCTTACTGTGTTTCATTGCTTGTTTTCTTTTCATTTTTGTTGAGATATTGTCTGTATGCCATGTTTCCTTGGGTGAAGTTGTTTTCATTGGATTAGAGTTTTTCTTCCAGTATCTTCTGAACATTGATGCAAAAATACTCAATAAAATACACGCAAAACCTAATCCAAGAACACATAAAAGATATCATCCACCATGACCAAGTAGGCTTCATCCCAGGCATGCAAGAGTGGAGTAGTTTAGCATATGGAAATCCATCAATGTAATCCACCATTTAAACAAACTGAAGGAGAAAAACCACATGATCATCTCCTTAGATACAGAAAAAGCATTTGACAAAGTCCAACACCCATTCATGTTTAAAGTCTTGGAGAGATCAATGATACAAGGCACATACCTAAACATAGTAAAGGCAATATTCAGCAATCCTATAGCCAACATCAAACTCAATGGAGAGAAACTTAAATCAATCCCACTAAAATCAGGGACAAGGCAAGGGTGCCCACTCTCTCCCTATCTCTTCAACATAGTACTTGAAGTCCTAGCTAGAGCAATAAGACAACTAAAGGGGATCAAGAGGATACAAATTGGAAAGAGGTCAACGTGTCACTATTCACAGATGATATGATAGTATACATGAGTGACCCCGAATATTCAACCAGAGAACTCCTCCAGCTGATAAACACCTTCAGCAAAGTGGCTGGATACAAAATCAATTCAAAATAATCAGTAGCCCTCCTGTATACCAAAGACAAAAGGGACAAGAAAGAAATCGGGAAAACAACACCCTTCACAATAGCCACTAATAACATAAAGCACCTTGTTGTGACTCTAACCAAATAAGTGAAAGACCTGTTTGAAAAAACTTTAAGTCTCTGAAGAAAGAAATTGAAGAAGATATCAGAAGATGGAAAGATCTCCCATGCTTATGGATTGGTAGAATTAACATAGTAAAAATGGCCATCCTGCCAAAAATAATTTCATGAGATTCAATGAAATTCTCTTCAAAATACCAACGCAATTCTTTATAGACCTTGAAAGAACAATTCTTAACTTCATATGGAGAAACAAAAAACCCAGAATTTCCAAAATGATCCCGTACATCAACAGATCATCTGCAGGTATCTCCATCCCCGATCTCAAGCTGTACTGCAGAGCAATAGTAATAAAAACTGCATGGTGTTGTTTTGCCATGCAGGGACCCTCAGAGCCCACCAGGAGATGACTAGATGCAATTGCAAGAGAGCTTTATTACAAGAGCGATCGAACTCAGGACCCAAGTCTCACTGGAGCAGCAGTAGAGAAGTGGGACCCCGAGCTCTGAGTGAACAGAATTTTTAAAGGGAAAGTCTGTGAGCAGGGGGTTTCCATGGCAGCAAGCGGGGGGGGGGCACAAGACTTGGCGTTACAGAATTGGGTGAAGTTTAGCAGGGCAGGGTGACCTTTTCTGAGGCACACAATCACAATGGCTAAGGCATATAATCACAATGGCTATTTTTCTAAACCATATCTGAAACATTGGGGAGAATTTTCCCACCCGATTCTCAACCGATTCCCATTGATTATTGCCAGGGAGTTTGTCTCTATTTTCTATGAAGCATTTATTCTGTTATATTTCCTGGAGGCTGTTGCCTGGAGAGTTAACTTTGTTTTCTGCCAGGTGCACACTCTGTGATATTTCCTGGTACCTGAATTCAGTTCCCAGTCAAAATCTTTATTTCAAAATGGAGTTATATTCAGGCTATCTTAAGCTCTTCAGTGTTGGCATAGAAGCACAAAGGTGGATCAATGGAACTGAATAGAAGACCCAGAAATAAACCCAAAACAGCTATGAATATTTGATTTTCGACAAAGAAGCTAAAATCATTCAATGGAAAAAAATACAGCATCTTCAACAAATGGTGCTGGTCCAACTGGATGTTACATGCAGAAAAAATGAAAATAGATCCATATTTATCACCCTGCAC